CGGATTCGAATGTATGCCAAATCCATATGTGAAATATTTTTTTTATTTTTTGTTGTCTTTATGAAATGGAATGATGAAATCCACATTTGTCAGACATCAGTGAAGCATCCGCACTAACGCTTTTGTCGGCGTTAATTACTCGACATTGTGGTTGAAGTTTTATTTTTTATTTCTTTCTACAAATATAGAAAAAGATGTGCTTTCATAATTTAATTTATGTTTTTCGCTAACCACATTTTTTGGTGTGCTTCATTGATTTTTTCAAAACTTCAAAAAAATCGTATTTTACAAAATCTATAATTTCTTTTGTAAAAAATTCTTACATCTTTGAATATTGTGCATTAACTCACATTTGTGATCTAATTTCAAGAAGAAAAAAAACCAAAAACATCTGGCTTTAGCTTTTAACGAAACTGAACATTCATTTATATAGCATCAAACAAAATTTGACTTAATTAGCACTTTAAAGAACTTAATTTGAGTCCATCTTGCTTACTCCATACTCTAATTCACGGTCAAATTGAATGCTACTTCCATTAAAAGTGTTAATGAATATCGAGTGGATTATTCATAAGCCTGGTCGAAGAGCAACGCGTAATCATGAGAAATGACTTTATTGCAGTTTCTTTTTTGGCGCCTCTTTGTCAAAACAATTGCACTTGTTTATTCATTTTGACTTGTTGATATTTTTCTCATTTAACAATGCCATTTGTAGCTTCTTTTTCTTCTTAATTTTGTTGCTCAGAACTTCTTCATAAATACACAGATTTAAGTTCTTTTGGATCGAATTAATAAACTGATGATGTATTCGACATATTTGACAAAAAAAAAACTTTTATTTGATTCTGGCACAAAAATCGATTTTGCCTTTTGGCGCCGCATTGGTTTAAGGTGTAAAGTATATTGTAGAACACAGCTGCGTGGGATGAACATTTAATTCTCAAATTTTAACCAATCATCAGAACAATTTATTGTTATTTTTGCAGTTTATTCTTGTCGAACATTAAAAATATTTTGTTCTGAATTAATTTAAGTGCCAATATATTGTGCATTGTTCTAAATGCTATCAGATCTGACACTACAAAATTTTTTATGAACGATAAAATTATGGAAATTTACTACTAAGAATAACTAACGCCCTTCATTTTTCCACTTGCAATTATTTTTCTTCTCATTTTTATTCATCAATAAATTCAAAAGTGATGTTATAACTAATGTTCAGCATGCTGAATGAATAATTGAAATTGCGCTCTGAATAATTTCAAATTCCATTCTTAAAGCTATTAAAAAAGTATTTTTTATTGTGCATCCAACACGCTTGCAAATGTTTCCAGCTTCGAATAGAATGAATTATCCTTTGATGTACACAAAAAAAGTGAACGACTGATATTAAAAAAAAAGAGAGAATTCAGCGACTCATATTGAATAATTATGAGGATGGACTTAACAGTCATTACTCAATATTGAGTTGAGCGTAATTCAAATCACACAAAAGAGCTTCAAGATCGTTTTTTCTTGACATTCATCGTCATTTATTTCCCACTCGAATGAGAAGCAAAAAAAAATCTCGAAAAAGCCAGATTACATCAAAATAAAATTCTGATTGACATAATAACAAAGACATATTGAACTATAACGATTGATTCATATTTTTTTCTGATCTTTTATGGTGGTCTCCAAATCTGAGTGCTATTTCGAGAAGAATGGCATGAGATATTATTAATTTAATCGTTTTCTCATATATTTTTTTGATTGATGCTGAAGCGATTTTAGATGCCCGAGCTATTAGCCACTGGGTTGGGTAATTTAAATAATACCTTTCAATTGATCGTTTTGTTTTAAACTGTTTTTTTTTTCATGAAACAAACGTCAATGCTTGCATGTCTTTTAATTTGATTTATATTTCTTGAGAAAATTTGTATCATGTTGCGCATTTTGCAAAAGGTTACGAATTGAACTGTCCTTGAAATCTAAGAAAAATAACCTTGCTCTATATATTCCATAAAGTCTATTTCCAGGGGTAGAAAAAAAAACTCATTCCTTGAGATGTGTTTATAAATAACAATTCCTATCTCCAATAAACACTAGACTCGTATATAATAACCTAGTACAAGATAAGTAGCATGAACAATGGACGAATCAATAAATATTGGAATGATGATATCTTTCAAAGCAATTTTGCGGAATATTTGGATGTTCACTTTGGCTGAATAATGTTGATGTTGTGTTTATAAATTGATGGAAACGCTGTTTTGCTGTTTTATTGAAGGAAGATCCTGCTGTTTTGCAGGTTTCCTATCAACGATGATTTTTTGCTTTGCTTGATATCAAGCTATGATAAAACATTTATTTGCGAAAATTTGGTTTGATTTTTTGATGATTTATGTCCATTTAAATCGCAATCTAAAGCTTGAACTAGGATCGAAACTGAAAAATTGAATCTTAAAACTAAATATAGTTTAAATATAAATGAGGCTAGCTTTTTGAGGTAGATGTGGTTCATGAAAACTTTATTACAAAATAAGAGAAGGTCCAATGAGTCATTCAGGCATAACATAATAACCAAAAAACTCAACTCTAATTAGATCAATTCAAATCATTTGAGCTACATTTTTCCTACCTGAATCTACAAAACCAGGCCGAATATAAACCATTTTTTGCATTACAATACCCAAATTCAAATGCACTTTAGTCATTAGCCTAAGGTGATTTTCTTCTTACTTTATACACAGCAAAAACAAAACATACCCAAACAAAAACAATCCACATGCGTGTTATTATTTTTTTGTATACTGTTACGTTTTAATTTTAGGCATAACCATAACTATAAGAACAAAATAACTTTCCATACATGAACATGAATTTATCTATTTATGTTGCTGTAAAATGAACAAGTTTATGCATCAGCATCCCTTGCAACAGATTACTAGTGAACCAGCATTAATACCATAACATTTTTTTTTTAAATAAATTACCTTATATCAATAAACATAATAAAAAATAAACAAGAATTGAATTTGAAATTGAAATCTCAAATCTAATGGAAAATTAAATTAAAGTATTACTATATCGGATATTATTTCATCTGCTAATTTCTTATTTGCATTTTTATTATGATACCAATTTTTATACTCACAGAGCACAATCTACATTAGCATAGGATGAAGAGATGAATTTATGATGGTAGCGTAAAAATATTAAATATCAAAATTGAAATATGAAAATTGAAATTTTTTTCATAAATCCAATTTGTGCGATAATGACATACAAAAGTTCATGTAAAAAAAAATTTTTTCATAACAAAATTTATTCGTAATTGACTTTTCGCTTTTTTCATTATTCTTGATTTTTCATTTTTATTTTCTCTTCCATAGTCGACAGCAAATTCCACAATGGCAAGCGGAACAAGAGAGTCACGATTCAATCGATAGAATACCAGTAAATTTTTCTACTTCCAAATCTGCAACACGACGAATGGAAATCGAAGAGACTCATCAAAAATCTAATCATGATTTATCGCCTATTAAGAATGTAAAGGGGACAGCAACAACTGAGAATCTCTTTGAACTTCTCGAGAGATGTCAATCTCAGAGGTTGGATGATCAGCGTTGTGTATTACCATCATATTTCTCACAGGTAAGCTGTTGAATAAATTTTTTATAAGCTGTTGCATGCTGATTTATCAAGAATATGTACTACATTTGAAATAGAAACTTGTTAAAATTTTCAATAGATGGCGTTGGTAAAAATGATTTAAATTTTTCTGTAACGAATTTTCTCCAAAATGTTGAGCACGTGTTCAACGGTGATTTTTTGAATTTAAAAAACATCTTCTCTCTCATTCTCTCAGAGTATGTAAAACATTATAAAACATTCATAACAGCATGACTGTTTCTCAGCCCAAGAGTCGGCATATGAATGTTTTATTCTTCTAATAGACGTCAAACATATAAGTCAAACTTATTTTGTTTCGTAGTGGTTCGCGACTGATTTACTCAGTTTTTAAAAGACTTTTTGATATATTTTAAATGTTTGCGAAAAAATCAATACGAAAAGTGGTTAAACAAGTGACTCTTTATATTTTTGAGATATACAGTATGCAACTTACGGGTTCTTTAAGCCGTTAACTAAAATCAAAGAGAAAAAAAGGCTTATATACTCACATATGAGTCTTGGATATATGAAAATAAAATAAAATATAAAAAAAATATTTCTTGTGTTGTGAGCGTTATAATTCACATCACCGCAAGAAAATGAATAAATAAATGTGTGACATCATCAGCAACTTACTAATTCGAATTTTTAAACAGAAAATTGAATGTGACTTGAAACTGCTTTTGCTATTTAAGCAGCAAAATTAAAGTTTCACTAAGCGTACACAACTCAACAGTGCAAAAAAAAATAAAAGAGTTGCAAGAGAATGAATGAATAATCTTTTATTTTGTGTTTGGGCGAAGCAGATATCGAATTGTGTACAACAAAGAATTAGATATAGTTTATAAACGTGTGTATGAAAAAATCAACCGATAAAGAATTTTAATGTACCATTTCAAAGGAAAAAGAAAAATATTTTCACGACACATGTAATAAATAGAAAGGCAGAAATAATATTGAATGTCAAGTGAATTTTTATGTGACATTTCTCGACCGATGCCAGAATTTTTATTCTTTCTCTTTTGCTCCTCTCATCTCAACAACATCAACGAGAGAAAAACTGCTTCTTGTTTTCTTTAAAATTGAATTAAATGAAAGAGAAAATCGTTTTACGGTCAGTGTGCCAGTTTGATTCAGCAAAAAAAAAAGAAATAACACACAATATAATGAAAAGATACCTCAACAACATCATCGGCGATTTCAACCTCTTAATACCAACTAAATGAATACACAGACGAAAAATTTACATCAAGTTATGTGCGACGTATATCGATGCCAAAAGTCTTTTGTCTGTTAATTGGTATTAAGGAAAAAAAATAAGTACAATTAGAGAAAGTTTCTGAAGAAAAAGCACAAATAGTTGCGAATGAACAGTGAATTTAAAACCGAAAATTGTGGCGAATAAAATTGATAAATACAATAACAACCTTACACCGCCATCATCGCCAATAGTGAAGAATCGTTCTAATCACTTGTGGCGTGACATGATGGGGGTGTTAAGACGAAAAGACTCGACATCAACAACCAATGTTGCATTGGCCAATGTGTTGAACAACAATCGAGTCTCATGTCCTGTGGGACCTGTAACAAATCGATCATCATCCGTCAGTATTTTAAGACATCACCGTTATTACTACAGTGAGGTTTGTGCCATGATCAACTTTTATATTCATAATTCAATTTACCAATTTATTAGACTATATAATATATAAAAGCTTAATGGAATTTCATGGAAGAATATCTGATTGCTAAATTTATGCGTAACACCCTCCTTCCATTCAACATTCTTTTAAATTCTTATTACGGAAATTGACAGGCTTTATAAAAGTTTTTTTTTTACATTTTTGCGTGCCTTTATTTTAAGAAATTTATTCGCGTGAACAATTTGTCCCACAGAAGGGATTATTGGTTGAAAAAATTGATGATTTTTAGGTTGAATAATGTTCTCAATAGGAATTAAATTTAGAGACATATATAAAGATTTGTAAGCCTCAAATGATGTAAAAAATGCGGCTTTATCTGCTCTGACAGCAACAGATAAATAAATGATTCTAATATTATGACAATCAGCCACTAAAAGACTGCCACTAGTCTCTAGTATTCTATTAATATTCTACACACGATATGATAGCCATACTGTCAGTTATTTCAAGTAGGCAGATGATTTTTTTACACAGTCATTCGGATGAATGGCTGATTAACAAGATAACAAATCAAGCATTTCAACAAAAAAAAAAGTTTGTCATAATTTCATCATGATCATAAACTCATCCCCATGTCATGTTTTAATTTAATCAGATAGCGCTTAATTTGTATGTCCTAAAATGTTTAATTATGAAAAACGAACTGTATCGTCTATAAAAAAAGCTCTTAATTGATAACAAATTTTCAGAAATTTTAATTATTCAGTATCAAATTTCATAGTAAAGTTCATTATAAAACTCTTTTAGCGGGAATTTCCTATCAATAGATTCAGAAATCGATTTGATATCAAAATGCGCTAAATAATCTATTATTCAGGCTTGCACTAATCGCACAAGCCAACTTTTTTGTTCTCTTTATCAAATTTTTGCTTCATTTATTTATTACACTCGCATTCTTGCCATCTGGCATATGTTCAGCCATCGTATGGATTTTGATAGATAGGTTGACTTTCACGCAAACACTTCCCGAGGTTTATGAACTCAACTCGAAGAAGAAAAATAAAAATTCATATTAATCGCTTTAAAGTAATACAGTATGTAGACTTTTTGGTTTTTCATTTTTGCCAAGTCGACTTACAAATATAGATTTTCTTTAAGCTGCAAATATGCACATATACACATGATGCATATAAAATAAAGTAACATTGTTACGTCCATAGAAGTAATATATATGTTTATTGTTTTTGTTTTTTGGTGCTTCTTTGTGCCTTCAAACAATATTTCGCTATAATTCATGATATTCACTTCCTCTCCTCCATTCGTTCATTCATTTATATTAATGACATACATTAGAAGTACGATATCAATTCATTATAGAATGTTTTAATATTAATGCTTTTCCGAATGATCCTAACTGTTCATCAAATATTCAATTATATTCATTGAAACATCTCCAACTTTCATTCATAATCAAATAGCTGCCTACTCAATATGCGTTGGCTGCACATTTTTCACGAATTTTATTTCTTCTTTTACCTGAGTTTCTACCTTCATATGGGCCCAAAAAAGTACAGCATTTACTTATTATTTTTTGGGGATTCTAATTATAACTAAATATCAAGAAAAACTATGAGTGTGGGTAAAGGCGAACATGTAAAGGTGGTTAATTAATTTGTGATAAATGTTTAATTTAATGTTAAGTCAGTAAGAAAGAAAAAAAATGATGGATTACTTTTCGCACCGGTTCATTGCATTTATAAAAAAAGTGTAGAATGAAGAAAATACAAAAGAACATACCCATTTAATTAAATCGAGGGGATATAAAGAAATTGTTTACTTACCAACAGCAGGTGTTCTCGTTTTCTGGGTGTAACATAAATGGTTTCATATCACTTCTTTGGAACTTCTTTTCAGTGTATAAATATTCTGTGTTTATTCACCATACAGCTGATTTTATACATGTATTTTATGGACACACGTCGAAATGTATTATCTAATGGATTAGTCAAAAAGTAAACACATTCCCGCATAGCTTAAAAACAGATTGTAAAAATGTATAGCTTTAAAAGACTTGTATAAATATGAATTCTAAGGAGTCTAAGCATCTAAATATTGCCACACGTCAAGCTACTGTATGAAAATGATATTAAAATTTATTTTGGAATTAAATCGTGATAACATGTGAAAAGAAAAATAATATTGGCAACATGACATTTTTAGTACCAAATAACATTAGCAACAGCATAAAAGATTTTTGTAGATCTAAGACGAGTAAGCGAGACTGACGTAAACGGGGTAGTCATGTAAATCTCTGTTACATTATTTCCCAAATATTATAATTGTTGTGCTTTAGTTTAGATGAGTTAACTCATTGAGTTGTCGTAATTGTCGTTTCCATGGAGAAATCACATTACGATTTTCTCACGTGGATTACTGTTGATTTTAATATGAGAAACACCTTTTGTCTGACGAAGATTCTCAATCTTATGTTTTTTGCTTACGTAATATCCTCCCATTTATAACCGAAAAAGGAATTCATTTGGGACTATAGAGGCAATGCATATCTAATTTTCTGCAGTATTGTATTCTAAAACTATATACTATATTAGAACCTCATGTTCAATTTTGTTGTCGGAAATGAATTTGCTGAAAATTATAGAGTATTCAGCATTTGACTTTGAAAATCAAACCCGATTGAAGCTTTCCAAATTCGGACAAGGAAGTGACCGGCATTTAATGTATTATTATATTTTTTTTTGTCTATTTTAAAGTTCTGTTGCTTATTTATTTACTTAATTGTACAATCATTTAATGGAATTTCTTCGGCATTCCGGAAAAACATGCTGACAACGACAACGATATCGTAATCCAAACAATGAATTACAGAGAAAGAATTTCTCATTTATCGTACATTATGTATTCATTCTAATAGCCAGACACTAGACTAAAATACGACTGATTATGCCCTCAAGTAAAAAAACATGCTAAAAATAACATGACTTCACATGTGATGCAAATTTAATGGCACATGTATGTATGTTACATGTGTTGGCATTTTCAAACGTAGAAGAAGCTAAAATTTCAATTCAGAATATAGAATCGAATATAAAATTATTACATTGATTGAAATTTAATAAAGCACGAAATACAAAAAAAAAATGTTGTGTATTCTAGATCCTTGATACTTTCTTTTACCGAATACCGTAAAAATGTGAAAAGTTTTCTGGTATAAAGCATTCATAAATCAATGATAAAATATGATATCGGTATCCAATTTATATTTTGTGCTGTACATAAATTCTCTGATTTAAAGCTTTTGCAAGATGAAAGAGATATTTTTTAAGATGAAAAAAGTTGTTCCAGAAAGGTACGGCACCTACCTCATAATTACGTCTGTTTACAAAAATAAAAAAAAACTGGCAATAATTGTCTAGGCGACCTCAACCTTCAATGATAATTTCATTATTCATTGTCATAACATTTTTAATGACTTCTATATTTTCTGGCAGTAAATAATTTAATATTTTTTAAGATAATCGCTTTGTAGTAGAAAAATCAATATTCTGTTTCTGCGACTTAAGTTGTATTAATAGCTAGCTCACTGATCGAAATCGACTAGCATATGAAAATTACTGAAAGAAGCCAGTTAGTAAAGCGTAAATTAATTAGATTATGCCCTCAAAAAATACAATTAGACATATTATAGATGTACTGGTGCTGAAAAATATTCACATATCTGATTTTTCATGAATGAATAATTTTAATGATGACATCAAAGTGTAAAGGACTGGGGAAAAAAGTGGTCAAGAAGTCTAATTAATGTCTGGAAATGAATGCAGACATAAAATTTATTAAGGCATTTCAATTCTAAAGAAAAGGAAAAGAAATAAACAGAAAATAAAAAAGTTGCATGTGAAATGAAGTTTTTTTTTTTTGCTGCTCATTCAACCCATGTGTGACTCACTCGGTTACTCACTAATATACATCGCATTAATTTTTATGTTTTCGTATGAGAATAAAGTTCTTGCCCGTTTCATCATATCTCTTTGCTTGACTGATTTTTCTTTTACATTCTTCGAAGTGAGACAGTGAGAAACCTGGTAATGCTTTAAGTTCATTCTTTAAAATGTAAAGGGGGATGGAAAGTATGACAACATTGTGTAATTACTGAACCTTAATTCCCTCCTTTAAATTCATCATGCTTTTCGTCATGAAAAATTAATAATATGACCTGAGAAAAAAGAATTTAAGCCATTGTTCCATGTAAGAAAAATACACAGAATTTGATTGCCTGAGTGTGGTGTGTACGAACATTTTTATTTTGTTTCGTGGGACTAAAAGAATTGTGTAAAACAAAAAAAAATATTAAGATTTTTATACCATTTACTAATGAAAAGAAGTTTTTCTTTTGAAAACAATGAGATTGTTATTAATTCATTTACGCCAACATCTCAAGTTCTCGAGTTTTAACTTCATCGATGCATAGGCGATGAGAACAAAGTTAAGCTATATTTAAATTATACCATGATGATGAAGTAATTCATACAATTCATATAATTTCCAACATAACACTTTCTGTTGATTGACTTTTCTTGCATCACCGAACCAAAAAATTTTAAGAATTTGCCGTTAGGAATTTCGTAAAGGGTTGTAAATTTCCATGCGAAATATAAAAATGAAGGATTCTGTTAACTTTGCGTGAGGCAACGAGTTTAAAAATAAATTGAAAAAAAAAGTTCAAACAATGTTTCGAGTTACAGAAGAAAGAAAAAAAGGTTCAAATTTGGATGTAATAAATTTAGCAGAAAAATGACAATAATAGATGAATAATTCTTGTGGAAACTCTTCTATTGAGATAAATTATTAAAAGCCGTATTTTATTGTTCTTTTGTAAATCATTAGGAAACCCCTCAAATTCATCTTCAAAATAGATTGCTAATGTCACAGTCTGAGTATTCACAAAGCCTTTTGTGTACTCAGAGTATCATTTTGTCAACCAT